TGCTCTGGATGGGTACAACGTTTGTTGCTTTGCTTATGGCCAAACCGGCAGCGGGAAGACCTTTACTATGGAGGGGGGTGATCTGGAGAACTCGTGGGGAGTCATTCCACGTGCTGTCCAGCAGATCTTCAAGTCTGCCAAAGCACTCCAAGAGCAAGGGTGGCAGGTAAGGGCGACGTAGAAGTTTCATATGAAATATTTGTTGTTCAAATGAGGTTAAATATGTTTTGATAGTAGTAGTTATTGTTGTTTTGTTTTTTCCTTCAGGGCATCCACGGAGTGGTATTGTTTTTTGCTTTTTCCTTCAGGGCATCCATGGAGTTGTATTGTTTTTGGCCTCCTCATGGTTTGTTTATTAATAGACTGTTTCTGTGTTGGTATTTTTAGTACGCCTTCACTGCCAGCTTTGTGGAGATCTACAATGAAACTCTTCGAGATCTTCTCTACACGGGAAAACCAAACAAGAGACCTGAGCATGAGATCAGGAAGGTCGCCAATAATGAAATCACAGTTACCAACCTGACCTACCAAAAGGTCAACAATGAAGATGAGGTACTGCTCATTTATATATCACAGGGGTGGCGAACTCCGGTCCTGGAGAGCCGCAATGCTGCAGAGCTCAGCTCCAACCCTAATAAAAACTCCCCTGCCTGTAGCTTCCTAGTAACCCTTCAGACCTTGATTAGCTTGTTCAGGTGTGTGTGATTAGGGTTGAAGCAAAACTCTGCAGGGCTGCGGCTCTCCAGGACCGACGTTCGCCACCCCTGATATATCACATTATAGCAGTGATATTAAGATAACACTACTTGAAATTCACAGTAATCTGTGTTAGAGATTGCACCGATTGACCGGCCAGTGATTGGAATCGGCCGATTTTTCGCATGACCGTCCCGGATCGGTGACCGGCCGGTCAGTATCACGAGCCGATTCTTTTATTGCCAGCGGCACCGGCAATGACGTCACAGCCACGCGCACACTCACAGTCGCGTGTAAACATGTTGTTTCGCGTGAGAATGATTCTAATTTTAATTGCATTCAATGTAAACGGCGACTGATAATGTATTTATCGTGCCAGATGTGAGAATTATTCTAATTTTAATTGCATTCAATGGAAACGGTGACTGATAATGTATTTATATCGTGCCAGATGAGGCTTGCACAGCCTGAGTGAGTGTGTGAGAGAGACAGCACACACAAAGTAACTCACAGAACTGTATAGATGCATACTGCAGTAGAAAAAAAAATTTGATTTAGGTAAGCAACATTATACGGCCATGATGTTTCCCCGAAT